TATATATGGAAGAAAGGGTTCGAATTTGGGGGCTGATTATTAATAAGTTTCATAATTAGGAGGAAAACTGCTGTGGGATGGAATATTTAGTTTTATTACCTGTCTGTCTGTCTACCTGTCTGTCTGTGTCTGTCTGTCTGCTCTTCATCTGTTTATCTGGCTGTTCCTTTCTTCCCTCCCTACCACCATTATGACCTCAACTACCTTTCTCCTTCCTTCCCGCTTTCCTTGCCTCCCTCCCTTATTTCCATCTTCTCTTTCCTCCTTTCCTCCCTCCATCCCTCCTCTTTCCTCCCTCTTGCCTCCCTCCATTTCTTTATCTACCCACACCCTCCCTACCACCATCTACATACTAAGGAGATAGAAGGAGAAGAATTAAAGAAGGAAACTTGGAAGAATCCAAAGACACTGGGGTGATGGAGAGAGATATAGAGGAAAAATGAGAGAACTCAACGATCGAGGATAAATTACTCTATTATACACCGCAAATGCATTGTGGTGTATCGTATTCAATGACGCCACAGTTAAAACGACCAAACGTTAATTGAATTTAGACCTATTCGGCCCTCATTTCAAATTTATATATATTTTACGACCCCTCTAAACAATTGATCATCGCGTGGCGGAACGTCATTAAGTGAAAGGTTCCCTCTGAACTCTTCTATATGAACTATATGAACTATAAGTTCATATAGTCGTATGAACTATACGACCAGTGTGACCATAATAACCATGGGGGTAACTTAAACACTCTCTGATGACATAATGTTTATATCTCTTTAATGTAAAATGGGGAACGCTTTGCACTCAATACTACCGGGTGTATTTACGGTAAATGTTGAACTTTTATATGAAATGTTTGCGTTTCCCCGGAGCGGTCAGCTGTGGTATGATTTACTGTAATATTTGTTGTGTACAGTGATAGGTTAGGTTACAGTGCGTTATTATGGAATATGTTATTATGTATCACGTTATGCTGATAACCAAGCACACACGAAAAGATGAGGATGAGACAGAAAAACATAACGTGATAACATTCATGTTTTGATATTCTGCCTTCTGATAATTACCTTGCCTGTCCTCTGATAACTACCTTACCTGTCTCCTGATAACTACCTTACCTCTTCCCTGATAACCACCTTACCTGTCCTCTGACAACCACCTTACCTGTCCCCTAATAACTCCCTTACCTCTCTCCTTATCTGTTACCTGTCTTCTGATAACTACGATGCCATCATTATTTTTGAGCCAACATTCCACACGGAAAGATGTAACATGGAAAGTGTCCATTTCTTCAGCGACACAAGTTTAAGAGAATAAAGGAATCAATGACAATTTAGAATGAATGGAAATAACACCAACGTTAATAATAGGGAATGCATGACTAACAGGCTGGATCTTGCAGTAAAATAGTCATGAGGTACACCAGACATTATAAATCTCTCCCAGAGGAACAATTACCATTAGAGGTGATCAATTTTTGCAATGCTGCATGCAAACTATATATATATATATATATATATATATATATATATATATAAACATGGTTTTACTATGGCTGCTAGTGTTAAACAAATATACTTTCCTACTTTCTCAACATTTTTCACGTGGTTCATAGTTGAAAAGATTGCAACATTATGTAGCTTTCCTCAAGCAAAGCCTTTGATGCAGTGCCTCAAGAAAGACTCATTAGAAAGTTAGATTAGGGCATGGCTATTTCAAAGGAAACAGAGTAAATGGAGTAAAGTCCGAATGGGAAACAGTTGCCGGTGAAGTGCCTGAGGGTTCTGTCCTGAGTCCTCTGTTGTTTAAAATATATTTTATAGATTTAGACCAAAGATTGAACAGAAACATTTTTGAGATTTGCAAACGATACTAAAATAGGTTGGAAAATAAATTCAGAAGACTCTAAAGCGGTAACAGACGAATTAAAATGACTTTTACAAACGTACAAAATATTGGCATGTGCAATTAAATGAAAAAAAAATGTATTTATAAATGTGCGGAATTTGGCAAATATAATGCTAGAATTTATATTTAAAAGCCTTTGCAATATTGCATCTAATCGCATGGGTATACATCGAAAGGTATACCCCACTTTACTGGGTATATTGTATACCTTGAGAAAGGATGAAGCTTTCATCCAATAATTTGGTTTTAATACACTTACACATATTCAATTTGCATTGCATTCAAACACTTCGGCATTGTGGCAAGTTCCTCCATAAACTGACATGGAAATATCCATATATTAAAGGTACTGATATATAAATAAATACAGAAAATAACGACAAAGAATATATTCATCAAAGAATAATGTTTTGTAATAAATAATTGGATAAATTAGGACTGACACGTGCATTGTCAAGCAACAAAACTAATGAAATATCCCGGCCGGTAACGCTACCCATGAGGGTAATTACATGGCGTGAGCTGGCGGGAGGAGGGAGACAGGTGAAGTGTCGTTCCATCCCATCCTTCCCTCCAGGTAGCTAAAGGCGAGTTTCTCCAACCACCTTCCCACTAGTAGTCCCTATACCCCCACCCTCCCAGGCGTCTTTGAGAGATGTCCCCAACACAGCACTCTCATCCCCACTAACCCTCCTATCAGAGACGCCCTAAATGTATCCAAGTGAAATACAATTAGAACCCAACAACCCAAGTAGTATTTGTAAACAAAAACGTAAATATTGTAAGTTTTTTTACGCATCGGGATCGGTAGCTTACGTGGGTGTTCATACGTTTCTGGTTTAGTTAAAAAGTTGATATGTTAGCGGAATAATAAATTGTGAGAGCAGTCTGTCCTCACATCCACCCCGGGTGTTGTCCTACAGGAGATCTGACACCTCAATTAGGAAGCGCTTGTACAGGGATGATGTAGGAGCGGCACTGATGGCAATTTACTCGAGTTGCACTAATTCTCCGAATCTACGAGTGCCTTGGAACTTAATTCTGATCTGAAGTCTCGGAGTAACATGCACTAGAACGAAGGAAAGGGATGTGGGAGGGAAATGATAATTTTTAGTATTGTGTCTGAAAGGGATGGATTTTTATTTTTACTTTTGACCGTAATATCGACATGGTATTGAAAATAGTTTCCAAAAGCTCGTAAAAAAAGTAAAAAAATATAAAAACATGAAATATAACTCGTTTTTATCGCGAAAACAAAGAATGCCTGAAAACATTATATATAAAAAGTGAGCCTTATATTTTTCTCTCTTTTTTTTTTTTGTGTGTGAATTTTTAAATCGGGGCAACAAATATATTTACGAGCACACATGCCCAAACTCTCTCAGTTTATTATTCAACACAAGAGTTCCACGACAACTATTGTTTACAAAGTAAGGAATGGAAACGCATCCACAGGCATACTCATGCCCCTCTCTCTCTTTGATATATATATATATATATATATATATATATATATATATATATATATATATATATATATATATATATATATATATATATATATACACACACACACACACACACGCCCCCTCACACATACTGCCTTACTTGAATAGTAAATAGTAAGTAAATAGTTCTTACTTACAGAACTATTTGGTTCTCCCACCATTTCCAGCTATGGCCCCTCCTGGTCCACAGCTTCCTTTCACCTCATGCCACTCACACCTGCCCCCTCCACCAACCCATCCACTCAAGATCCATAGTTCATATTTTCGGGGAAAAGGTCCCAGGAAAGCAAGAATTTATAGTTTGATGAAATTTGATTAGTCTTGAAAGATTATTACCATTATTATCTGCCTTCTTCACTAGAAATGGCTGCCCTCTTTCCCTGGTCATGGCTGTCTTCTTCTCCAGGTAATGGTTGCCTTCATCCCCCACTAATGGCTGCATTCTTCCTCGTAATTACCATTTTGGTATGCCAGCCTTTTCTTTTCTTATCACTTGAGCAATTATTTCCTTCTTCCTCCAGATGTTCAAACGTAAATACATTGTGATCACTCATTCGCATGTGTATGTACTCACCTATTTGTACTAGCCTATTTGTACCTGCAGGATCGAGCTGTAGCTCTTCGTTCCCGCTTTTCTAGGCGCTGGTTGTCTAATGCAAGGGCTCCTGACCAATTTTCCTATGATTCCTGCTTTTAAAGTTATAAATAGAGTTTGCCTCTACAACCTGCTCCTTTAGGTCATTCCATTTACTCACTACCCTTATGGTAAAATAAATCTTTCTAACACCTCTATAACATATCTGAGTCTCAAGCTTCTATCTGTGCCCACTTGTTGTATTGATATTTATTGTAATAATTTCTTCTGTTTCCACCTTGTCAATCTCCCTAATTATTGTATACGTATGTATCATGTCCACCCTATCGATCCCTCTTTCTAACGTCGTCAGGTTCAATTCCATCATTCTCTCTTCATGGGAGCTGCGAAGGATGTGTATGTGTGAGTGTACTCACTTATTACAGGTGATACAGGTGTGACCTTTACACCTGTGTTTTCAGTTGTATGTGTGTGTGAGTATGTGTGTGTGTGTGTGTGTGTGTACGTGTGTGCGTGTGTGCGTGTGTGTGTGTGTGTGTATAAGGATCCATTCAGAGTATCCTCATCCATCAAGTCCTCCTAATGTTTCTCAACGTCAAGGAAACGGTCAATTTAAAGTGTCCTCTCCAAACCTACCAGAGGACCCAAAACAGAAAACGGGACAGTTCTTCACTTTCCCGAGCCGCTTCCATTTTCTTGTACGACAATTTTTGACCTTATGTAACGCATACTAGCGAAATGCGACGTTCTTTATAGGAGCACAGGTTTCTTCACCACATGTACCAATCAGGTCACCACGTGTAGAAAACCGGAACCGTAAAGAAAATGGTTCTGGGAGCGACTGAAGAAAACTGGTGCCTCTGTTAGGATATCGAGGGGTAAAGGAACTGTTTTTATTTGAATGTATCTGGTTTTGAGTTTATCCTGTGTAATATATATGCAAATGAATGCCGCACATTAAAAATTCAAATTGTCTTTTATTTCAGAGTTGTACAGCTGTAAACAGAACTAATCTCTATCAAGGTAGGAGGCTCTCTAATTTTGTAATTGGTAACATTAAGATTTTTTTTAAGTTGTAAAAAATCTAAAATATGTGAAAAACTAAGTTTATTGTTTGGTTCTTGATTGTTTAAAACAGAATAAACAGAATTAAAACAGATTTGTTCATTTGTTTAAAATAGAATAAAATCTGTGATAATACCCCCGATGATTGTTTAAATATACAAAACAATATCCTATTGATATCAAAGAAAGAGGAATAGTTAGAAATTAAAATTTATTTTCTTTGCTATTATTTTTTCTCACAGCTGTGGATTTGACGGGGACGTGACGGCCAGGTCCATGACAATCATCCAGATTCCAACCTTACCGTCACCCGTCACAGTTACCAGGTATGCTCCTTCCTCTCACCCGTCACACCCACCAGGAAACCATCCCCTCCCTCCCATCCCCTTCACCAGTCACACCCACCCTCACCCACCATATACCACGCCCACTTTCTTCTCCCCTCAGGCGGTCTGGTGGTTAAGTATCAGTACCGTTATTTACTGACTCGGTAATGAACCTTCTTCCGCTTCAGAGCGAAGTTTGGTCAGCAACTTCGGTTGGAGTTTTGTGGCGGAAGGAAGCTTGAGAGTTGATGCTTTGGAGAGAGAGAGAGAGAGAGAGAGAGAGAGAGAGAGAGAGAGAGAGAGAGAGAGAGAGAGAGAGAGAGAGAGAGAGAAGAGAGAGAGAGAGAGAGAGAGAGAGAGAGAGAGAGAGAGAGAGAGAGAGAGAGAGAGAGAGAGAGAGAGAGAGAGAGAGAGAGAGAGAGAGAGAGAGAGAGAAGAGAGAGAAGAGAGAAGAGAGAGAGAGAGAGAGAGAGAGAGAGAGAGAGAGAGAGAGAGAGAGAGAGAGAGAGAGAGGTAAGCTGTAGCTAATCACCTCCCTGAATACATAAGAACCTACTCTATCGAAGCGGCTTAGTTCTTATGGCGCTGGTCCTACTTACCAGGTATAAACAAAACCTTGGTGCCAAAGGTTTATATCGCTATGGGTGAAAAAGCCTCTCCTGTTTTCTGTCCTAAAGTTTATTACGAACATCAATTACATGTGTATACAAGGAACAGCCAATTAAAGATGTATACAAGGAACATCTAATTACACAGGTATTTAAGGAACATCCAATTGGAACAGATGTATACAAGAAATATTCAATTCCAGACATATCCAAGGAATAATGACCAAACCACAGACCAGAAGATGAGGAGACAACGACGTTTCGGTCCTTCCTAGACCCTTATCAAATCGACTGTGATGGCAGCTATTGATTGATTGATGGAGATTAAGTCACCTAAGAGGTGGCACTGGCATGATTAGCCAGTAAGATGGAAGCGATGAAGGCACGGGCATGAGTTAGGCAAAAGTTAGGTGAGGAGGACGGACCGAAACGTCGTCGTCTCCACATCCTCTGATGTGTAATTGGTCATCATATCTTCAGCCACGTTATTGTGACTCATCGTCTGCCTGTATAAGAAACCCCCAATTACATACGAACAGGAAGAACATACGGTTACAGACGTTCATAAAGAACATCCAATTACAGACGTGCACGAGGGACATCCAATTACAGATGTTTACAAATATTGTGCAAGGGCACGCCAGCGTTCAATTACGCAGGCGCGTGTGTCTCTACCGTAGTGATTATATTATTTTTAGCTGGGAGTGTTTTTCCCCAGTTCCTGGCAGTTCTCGACATCAATGAATTTACGCTTCAACAGGATCCACCGATTCACCGGACCGTAGTGTTTACTCTCAAACTCACTGGATTTGTTTATCATGACCTTATCATGTATACAATAGTGCCCATGGTTATCCGGATGGGCTAACATATGGGTTTACATACGTTCGAATAAGCTACGTATCAGTGTTTAATGAATGCCCGACGGATAAACAGTGGAATCCTGAATGATGGCTATACAAGGGATCGATGTATGTGGTAGATATTTTTCTAGCCTTTAATTTAAGGGTAGTTATTTTATATTTTATCAGAATGTAGCAACAAGGAATTGCATTTAAGAACATTGGCACTAGGTGGCTCTTCCTTGCTCTACCCACCTGGCTCTCTGAGAATTTTGTCTCGTAGTTTGATTGGTGAGAAAATTATATTTGGAGATATGAAGTAATATCTGAATGAATAACATTTCGGATGGTCCATGTTTAATGAGATTCTTATTTTCATTTCAGATGAACCAGAACGGAGAATGTCCCGTCCAGACGTGTTGCATTTGTTTAAACTAGACCTTCCTTGACCTCTTTCTACTTGAGCACCCCCTCGCCTACTATCAAATAGATCTTCCCTGCCCCTTTCCAAATAGATCTCCCCCTTACCTCCAATGAACCCAGTCAACTAGATCTTCCCTTGCCCCCTTTCTCAGCTCTCTCTCTCTTTCTCTCTCTCTCTCTCTTTCTTTCTCACTACATTCCTCCCTCCCATCCTCTGAAAGAGTGCTTCCTCCAACCATTTCCACTACACCCGCCGACGCTTTAGATCGGACGAAAGTTTTGCGTCCTAGCCTGGCAAACTTTGCTTTATTTTTCTCTACATTTGTTTTTATTATATATATATATATATATATATATATATATATATATATATATATATATATATATATATATATATATATATATATATATATTATTGTCGCCTCATTTACTATTAACAAATTATAATCATAATATTTGGCCTTATTATCACTTCTCAACCTACTATTGTGAGTACTTATTTAGGAAGACAGATCAGAAGATATGTCTACTTATATCTCTACTTCTGTATTCATATCTACTCTCTGCTAATTGTCTAATATATGTGCTACTATATCTGCTTCTATATCTACTTCTTTATTTAGCTGTCTATTAAATGATGTATCTTATTACTTGTCTAATTCTATATCAACCATATTCTCAGTTCCGGAACTTATACTAGGTGGAATGTAATTACATTACACAATTTAATGCCCATTTCCCTACTCTGATCTATCATCAGCTCAGTCTACTCTAGTCTACCATTAATTTACCTGCTCTGATCTATTGGCTCCCTTATTCTGATCTACTGTTGGGCTCCCTTGTTTCTTGAATTACCCTTTTTAATACCCACCTGCTTTTTCTTATAACGGCCCAGGACATGCCACTATTAGTGAACCTTAACTTCCTGTATGCTATCCTACCTTTCTACCATTACCCACTCCCTTTGCTGTAGACTAATACTTTATGCCTTATTTTGCCTTAAATGCCTTAAACATGCATACATTAGCTCATTCTGATAGACTTACACTGCCCTTAGTTAGATCTACTTCATACAACCTTCACAATATATCTTAAACTTTTACATTCTGGGCCAAGCGAGGCTGCTCTAAGCTAACGTTCCTTAGTCTATCCTACGCTAAATATGTCGAGCCCAACTCAGGATTACCGAGGTTATTCTACTCTTCCTCAACCTGTCTTAAGAACTGCTTTCGAACATCCGGATTCATGCGGGTCTCCTCGCTATCCTGTTCCCTCGTTATTTACTGATCTTTTCATTTCATGTACAATCCACATCAGAATATCTAGATTGCTCTGTTCCATCCCTCCATTCCTCCATTCCATCTCTGCCTAACCTAAATATTCCTAGAACACAACTCGCCAATCGGTTTACAACCAGGTGTCTCATTACTGCTGGGTGATCAGGAGCACAGATTTCAGGATCGGTGTCTAATCATCCTTTTTTGCCCTGGGCTCGATTCTGGGTCAATATTGCTCGTGAGGCGTGTGGCGGGTCTAGGGGTCTACTTCCAAAGACCAACTTTAGTGTCCTTACCCGCCCTGTCCACCCTACCCACCACCCAGTCAGCTCACCCTGAACCCTCTCAATCCCACCTCTGGCCAACCTCTGGCCCATCCTGACATCCTCATCCCGAAAGGTCGCTTCCTCGTCAACACAACTAAGAACGGAAAATAGATATATAGAAGTTCAACTGATTTTCACTTTCCTTCTCCAATATTTCGGACACAAAAACGTATCAAAGTTTATAATAAATCGACGGAGCTGAAGTGACAGGTAAGACGGCATACGAAGGTCACTTTAAAAGAATAACTAAAGGTAACTTTAAAAATTAATTCCAAGAATTTAGAAAATTAAATTAAGTACCAAAAAATTTACAAAACAAGAACAAAAATGTATATTACATAACTAATTTAATAAAATTGATGAACTGATACACAGAACCAGACTACAAACTGAAATGTTCAGTGTCGTGATGGTAAGACTTTGAAATAACTCAGCAGTGTGAGTTATATACTTCAAAAAACCAAATCGAATCGTGAACTGTAACTGTGCTTCTGACGGTGAAGCAAATGTAGCAACGGGAGTCATGGTGAGGCAAGATGAAGCAGGATGAAGCAAGGTGAAACAAGCGAAACTATTATACAAAAGCATTGTCTACAGAGTTACAACTTTTATATTAAGGTAACTAAAATGATCAGATGTTTATGTATATTTCCATATTATGTTATTAAGTTGGGTGTGAAGCCCCCAATGATTACTTTTTTTTTACCCTCGACCTCGGGGGGTCGAGGCTACTGCCTCGGCCAGGTTCGCTTCCGGCCGAGGCTGAGATAAGTGGGCCGAGTTTCTTTCACCCTGATGCCACTGTTCACCTAGCAGTATATAGGTACTTGGTAGTTAGACAGCTGCTACGGGCTGCTTCTTGGGGATGAGTGTTATATAGATTCTATAGACATAGAATTGTGGGCTGACAGCATACTTTTTATCCACCGGAAAGTAATCGGCATTATATTTAACATGAGACAGGCGGATAAGTTAGAGAAACACGCAAGAGGTGTTTAGGAACATGATGAGATTTTGAAAGAAGTACCTAAGCAACAGAAGTGAGTTAGAGTAAGTGGAGAGACTTTACAGACAGGATGTTACCACTGAGACCTCGTAAGTACTAACTTGTGCCTGTTAATGTGAACGGTCTCTCAGAAGGGATATGTTACTTCCCAATAATATTCGCTGTTGAAACATAGAGCAGTAATACGAAGGAAAACTATGGACAGATTAAAAGAATTGCTGTATAAGTGGCTACTAGAGAATAACTCAAAGAAGTGCAAAGTAATGGAGCTGAATGATTGGCCAGATATAAAGAGGGCAGACATAATGTAACAAATGGGGAAGACTAAACGCTCTTGAATATAGAGAACAAGTCTTTGTGGAACAAGTCATCGCAACGAATTTATTAATTGATGTTCACATCAACCGATGGAGCCAGCTGCACATACACTTTTGATCATTAGAGGGAAAGTTTTCCTAAAGATGAATCATTTCGTCACAGAGAATCCTTGTATACCACATATATCTGCCCAAATCAACAATATACGGCACTTGCATGGAGCCCATATCAAGTCAAACGCAAAACGATTCTACATACAGTCTAAAGGTATGTCATTAGACAATTCACAGAGCTCAGAGTTATGAGTTACTAAGAAACACTAAAAGAATTAAACCTCACATCACTGGAAGAGAGATGAAACAGGGGAAACATAATCACATCATATAAAATACTCAAGGAATAATGTGTGTCATTGGTGTTTAACAAACAACTGTACACAGGTGGAAACTAAGTTCCCGAATAACACCAGATATTGTTCAAAACTGTGCAATTTCTCATAGATAAAATCCCATTATACACGCACGTTGATGAAATGAATTACTATTGGCTTTATACTAAATATTTAATATGTTCTCTGTAAAAATGACTTAAAGTACTACGGATATTTGTTTTTCCTGCAGAAGGATTTAATGTATTGTGTATACAAGCACGTCACTTCGTTAAACAAATTATTGTGCAATATTTACGTGATCATTGCATGTTATATTTAAAAGACATAGAGAATTATTATGCAAGTTAGGGAAATTTCAAAATTCTATTTACTTAAGAAATTTACAAACCATTTAAACAGATGAATCCTTTACTTACAATAACTTCATTCACGATAGAAAATAATTGGAATAAAAAATATGACTTTTCCTCTTTTACTTTGACTGGCTTTGTAAACTTTTAATCGTTTCTCCATCACCTTAAGATAATTAGCAATTAAGGATATTAATGGCACCATCATCAAAGTCAGCAAGGCTTCCAGCGCCATGTGTTCCTCAGTTATTGTCACCTTTATGTTCTCTGCTGTATTTATGACTCATAAAATGATAATTGGAAACTATTAAATGGATCATTAAATTAAAATACAATTACACGCACTCACATTACATATTTATATATATACATATGTATGACAGTACACACTGTCATGCATATATACATATATATATATATATATATATATATATATATATATATATATATATATATATATATATATATATATATATATATATATATATATATATATATAAATATATATATATATATCCATCCCAAGGGCACCACTCTGGTGCCCTTGGGAGATAGAGAAATTTGGGGTAAATACCTCGAAATCTCTATCACTTTTAAGGGTCTGATGTTGGTGTAGTGGGCTAAGGCGTACTAGTTATGGCAACTACTGGAAGGTAGTTGTGCTTTCTGGGTTCGAGGCCCACTGGTGGGTGTTGTCTAAAGTTTGTTAAACTTCACTTGTGGTTTAAGCAAGTTAGTGCATATATATATATATATATATATATATATATATATATATATATATATATATATATATATATATATATATATATATATATATATATATATATTCTCTGAATATGTTCGACATAGTATATTCTGTGTTTGCTATTCATTATTTTGCTAACACAGGGAGTTTATATTTATATTATCTACAACGATAATAGCTTCTATACTCTATGTTGCTAGTTATAATAGTTTTTAGTTCTGCCTCTGCTAGATAACCTAGTTTATAGATCTGGTTTGGAAAACTAAGTCAATATATATTCTGGTATTTTTGTTGACGAGTTTCTATAAATGGTTGCTAAATTGCTTCTGGTTTGGCTTCTGTATATGCAACTCTTGAAGCAAGAAACTATTTCAGAAACCATATACAACATCATTCACTCCCCAGTCAGAAACTTCCACAGAGACCATATTCAATCCACAATCCTTCATCAGCCAGAGACCACTACAGATACCATACACAACCACAATCCACCCCAGCCACTACTCCCTCCCCCCCTCAGACACGCGTAATGAAAAACCGCCAGATAATCTCCTTTTTTAATAAATGTCAAATTCATTATCGACGTTTAATTCCCTAGAGACTGTGAGAACCAGTCACCCAGTTAGATAAATTGATTGTTTTAGAATGACATTAGCTAATCTTGTGGGAAACTATTGCTCAAAATTGTATACGCTGTCAGCATTTCTAATTAATTCGTTGTCAATATGCTTCTATAAAATAAATATAATTATTCAATCGGCAGGTAATTGATTAATTGTCTGTTATTTTGCCATCCTGATTTTGGTCGAACATAAGGCGTGTGGCGCCGAGTCCAGTCACTGGTCCAGTCACTGGTCCATTCATTGGTCCAGTCATTGGTCCAGTCACTGGTCCAGTCACTGGTCCAGTCATTGGTCCAGCCAC